CCTCTCCCCATCACCCCCTCAGCATCCACTCACACTGTCACCTCCCCACACATTGTCACCCCTCCCTACATTGTCATCACCCCCCACACTGTCAGGCTCTTCATGCATCCACACTCACATCAACCACTCCTAATCCTGTTAATCTCACCCCCTCCAAACTCACCTGCCCTCACTTTGCCACACTCACCCTGTCACATTAACACCCCTTAATCCTGTCACACTTGTCCCTCCTACCATGCCACAATTTCCCTGACACACTTACCTCCACTCGCCCTGTCACACTTCCTCATCAAACCATGTCATACTCCCTGTCCCTCATTCTCTCTCACAACCCCCACCCTGGCCATTTACCCCCTTTGCCCTGTCACACTCTCCCTACCACTGGTACCCCTTTACTCACCTTGTCACAGTCACCAGCTGAAGACATTCATTATACACACACAGTCGGGAAACATAGCTTTGCCATAAACACAATGCACAAAGGCTACAGGCAGACCCCCATACACACAACACACTTCAAGCAGCTACCCCAAACACATTCTGTCCCAGACAAAAAGGCAAACATGCTCACAGAGACATACATTCACACACACAAGGATACTCTCTGTCAGACACACTCTCAGGCACATACACAGGTAAACTGTTCATCAATGTGTATATGACAGTGTTCATGTATTGCAGCTCTATTTTTTTCACTTTTTTGTTAGTGGGGCCTCATGTTTGAGTTTCGCCTAGGGCCTCATAAAGTCTAGAGCCGCCTCTGCTCTCAAGCACACATTCTCAGCTTCCCAGATACACATACATGTCAATAAACAAAGACAGTGACATGTATATTCAGATACACATGCTCACACACAAATGCACACTGCCAGACACACCTAGCAATTAACAAACCAATATAAATTACTAGGCACACAATGTTCCAGACATATACTGTCACACAGATAAACACACACTGTCACTGACATAAACACACATACTGTCGTATACAATCAGGTGCATACTACAGCACACAAATACAACAACACACACGGACACACAACAAATACACATACTGACACACACACAAATATACTCAGTGACAAACACACAACTTTGTATCCAGCATCCTGTTTTTATACCTTTTTACATGTTTCCCTGGGGTTCACTGTGAGCAGGTTGGTGTTTCCCTCTCCATGACTTGGTCTGTGAGATGAGACCTATAATGTATCAGATGGGACCTGATAATGATGTGCTTTTGACCCAGTACCGTGCTGACACTCGAGAAAGCAGTTAAATTGCTCCACTCTAGCCAGGACCTGGCTATGACTGGTGGCTGCAGTTCAAAATGAAATATTTCTATTTCCACAGCCAGACCAGTTGGCCTGAAATGGCACTAAATGGAATATGGGCTTTAATGCTATAATGACTTCCCTAAAATGAGGAAAGAAAATATACAGTAACAAACTGAGTTAAACTAGACATTTTCGAAGCTTTCTTGGCTTTCCACTCTCTGTTCAGGAAGTCAGAGAATAAAATGGTTTTATGGACTTCAATGAAAAGTGAAAACAAACAGGCACGCTGCATTCTCACAAAGAGATGTTGAGTTAGCACTGCAAAAAGTAGCAAAGCAAACTGTTCATAAAACGGCAGGTATTACTATGTCTGCGGAGCCTTGGTCCCAGCAGTAAATTTGTAACATTTACCAGCAGATGGTGAAGATCCTGACTTGAATGATGAGTGCCTTCTCATATCGTGAGTTCATTTATTGTTCAACTTCTGATAGCATAGAGAACGGCATACATCATAACACTCATCTTGTGTGGGGATATATGTTGCTGACTGGCTAGAGACAGGAATAGCTCTGGTATGTAATCCTCTGTTTATTGCAGCCTTAATGGCCCCTACTTTAACTGTTCGGTTTCAGAGCTGGCAAAATCAGTAAATTTTTAACTCAGATATTAGGTAACCTTATTGCTCACTGTGAGCAAGTATACATTAAAAGAGAAATTGTGCATGTATAGATTAATGTTCAAGAATACAAAAAAATATGTAAATAATATTTGTAGATTCGCACAATTTTAATTGTTCACATTTCACAGAATTAGTGAGGAGAGTATGGTAATTATATTGTTACTTTTAGTCTCTTTGAACCACAATCACTACACTGATCTGTAGTGGTTATAGATCTTAGTAAAAGCACAGGAATCCAAAACTTACATTTTAGTCTATGCATAAATGAGGTGGGTAGGATTTCTCTCTCTGTCTTTCTAAATGTAAAAGGCCAAAGGCCTATATAAACTCTACCCCCTGCTTACCTATGCCATTTCCTGTTTGAGTGAGAGGTTCCCGCCAAATTTCACTGCTCCAGCTCGATATTCTGGCCTTGTCCGTCTCCGACCTGGTTTCAGTATCGCTGTCCATGAGTGGTTCACTGGCTTTGCATCGTGTCCGAAGTGGTGTTTCAGAGCTGTTGTATACAGCAAACACAGACTCAAAGAAATCCATGTTTAAAATGGAATGAATGGAATAGTTGAACTAATTTGCATATGTCCACCCAGAATCCTTTGCGGTAGTAACATCACTGCAAATTTGTGATTCCTGTGGGAAAAGCAAGTCTTATGGCTTGACTGGTGTGCAAATTTTTGTTTAAAATTCTAGTAACTATATATCACTCATGCTTGCAGTTCCTTCTGCTTTGCCAATAGGCATGCCGGGTGCCAGTCCTTTTAGGGATGTTACTGTAGATAAGAGGAAAATGCGGGCTGCACTTATGGACTTTTGAATTCAATAGTATTTATTTCATCAAACAAGTAGAAAAAAATCGACGTTTCGGTCCGCACAGGGACCTTCCTCAGGATCAAGTGATATCACTTGATCCTGAGGAAGGTCCCTGTGCGGACCGAAACGTCAATTTTTTTTCTACTTGTTTGATGAAATAAATAATACTGAATTCAAAAGTCCATGAGTGCAGCCTGCATTTTCCTCATATATATATATATATATATATTAATGTGAGATGTGATATGTGTGTGTGTGTGTGTGTGTACAATTAATCTTCCCTGTTGCAGTTTAGACAAGGTCATGGACTGGTCTATATATCTTTCTCTGATTCTCTGTTAGTCTTGACTTGTGGCAGGTGCAGAACTTGGATCCAAAGGAGGTGTCAGTGTGTAGATATTGATGCAGGTGTAGAGGAGCAAAGGACACAGTACAATAATAATAAGGAAAGTGTTTGCACTCCTGGGTCTTAATGTCCTAGGTTTTTTTAGACATTGCAGAGCACCACAAAATAGAGATCATTGTTGTATTGGAGAAATTTTAGCTAAAATCACAGATCACCTAGTTGATCAACTTTCCGAAATGTTGTTCGATTTATGATCCGATAAAGGCTGCATGACGATAATGATTATGTGCTCAAACTCTGTTTGATATTGCTGGGCTCTGTGGAGATATTTGCCATGGCTTCTGGAATCGAATGAGTGCAGTCTCTGCTTTCTTAGAATCACCTAGTTTAACATCTGTATCAATTAATTATAAGTGCGAACATCAATATAAAATTGCAGAGAATCTTAGAGAAAAGTATTGCCAATCCTTAGAGATATTCAGATTTATTGTTATAACCTTCACAGGTAGAGACAGGAAAACCAAAAGTAATCAAGAAATTAGAATATTTAAAATACACAAGGCGAACCTAAATAACTAGTGCACTTAAATCTTAAGGAATCTTCACACAGCCTTACACTACACAAGTAACTGAATTCATGGGAGTGCAAGATATAAAAGCAATAGACCTATTCATAAAGTTCTGAAATTTAGAAGCAAGCTAAGAAAACAAATAGGGGACATTTAAAGGCTTACATTATGAGAAAATTACCAAAATGTGTCAAACACTGAATTTGTTAAGCCCCCTTACTCTAAAATGTTCCCAATTTAGACGTGAAAGATTTCTGAAATAGCCATAAACAGCTCCAGAATTGATTCCCAGACAATCCTTAAAATAAATAATTAAATAATTTATTCTGTTACTAAAATAAATCTATAATTTAAATGGTTAAATGGTTACCAGATGTTATCAGGTGAGGCAATAAGATAAATTCATGAGTGCTTCCCCAAGAATCCTAACATTCCATGAGAAACTGGTGTTTGTACACAACAGGGAAGTTGCTGTTATAGACTGCCCATCTGGGAATATGTTTTCATTTAACATGTGGGAAATTGCGTCATCAGAGATAGATATAGATAAATACCCTATTTCCCTGAAAATAAGACATCCCCTGAAAATAAGCCCTAGTGCGTTTTTCGTGGGGAAATTTCATATAAGACCCGGTCTTATTTTCGGAGAAACATGGTAGATAGATAGTTAGATATTTTAAAACCATTGTTATATCAGTCCCTTTTCACTAAAGATATGACAAAAAAACTCTATTATATTTTATCTCATAATTGCATGCCTTGACTACTGCAGCCATCTTCCTACCAAACAGTTTAATTAAATTTCACCTCCCTTCCACATCATTCCTATTCTACTGAAACAGTCTGCAAAGTCTTTCATAGGTTCCCCATCCAATCTTGAACTATATTATGTATATAGCATGGTCAAACATAAACTGATTGCTCTTACAGTTTAGTTCGCAAAGTATAACTTAACTCATCCTATCATTATTTTTATAACCTAAAACTCTCAACAACACTCATCAAATCATCCTTCTCCTATTTACAACACTATTCCAGAACTGCCCCCAAATCTGGAAATCACTTGGGGCATATTTCTTTCCCTAACACTATAATATCCACAATTTACACAAAATATAATTTTGGTCTTAATCTGTTATACTATATTAGACTCCCCTGTAAACTTTCTGTTTAGATTTTGCGAATGGGGCTGTAATAGCATTTTGCAAACTATATTTGATGTAGCCGTTGTTCATTGTATCTGTTGCTCTATAATATTTGGTCTCTAAACAAATTCTAATAGTGTACGTTATAATTTTAACTTGACATACAGTGTAGCTCTTTACCTGTTCCAATGTTGCATGATATGGAGACATTTTTATTTTTCTGCTGCGATGACTTGGGTGTAGATAAAGAGAATACAGATGTGACAGATATGACATAATTTGCAGCTTCACTACCTTTCGGAGCATAGTGAGAGAGGAAAGACTCACTTCCTGTTTCCTTACAACACTGGATTCTGATTCTAAAGAAAAACAAATATCTATAAGGATGTGTGAAAATGATTGATATACGGTCAAGTTGTTTAGTATGTCATCCTTGAAATGATCAAGCGTGCCACTCCCCATAGCTCATGCCCTTAATGCAAAGGAATAAAAGGGTTGGTCACTAAATATAAATTTACCTGCACATTGCAAAATGAATGAATGAATGATGGAGAAATTTAAAAATTCAGTTATTTTGGCGTAAATGTGTAATTCCTGACAATTCCTAGTAAGTCACATGATCTCCAATATCAACTGATGCACCTTACCTGCCAATTAAAACACCTTAATTAAAGAATTAATTTACTGATTGTATATGTACATCCCACTTATTGGTGAAATCATTTCCAGAATAATAACAGAGTGATATAGTTAAGTTAACTTTGACTTTTGGTTGTAGTAAAATAACTGATATTCTTAATAATATCTAGAATACAGTAGACAGGGCCAGATTTACCCTCCTTGCAGCCCTAGGACCAGTTTGTTTGTGTGCCGTATGTTATAGTCATTTTATATTCTGCTTATAATATATATATATATATATATATATATATATATATATATTACATATACTTATTAATATAATACACATATATTCATATACATGCCTACATACATACATACACACACACACGCACTGATGATACTCTCATAACTTACAAGTATTGTTTTTTTAATGAAAACTTTGACCTTTGTAAAGCACACTGACTGATCCATGCAGACATGCACACACATGCACACACTTACCCATGCAAACATGCACACACTGGAAGGTCAATTGTTGGGCAGGCTGGCACTGGCCCCTACTTGGAATGGAGGGTGATATAGGCAGGATAGTGTAGGGTAGGGGTGGTCCATTGATCTTGCTTGCATTACCTTTGTTTTGCCCCTCCCTTACATGTAGGGGGAGCTCGCGTCGGGGCTATGACAGTGATATCATAGCCCCACTCACTCTGCTCTGAGTCATGCAGCAGCTCAGCAGCATGCCAGGAAGGAGAAGAAGCAGGTCTGTAGTCTCCTTTTTACGTGGGCTGTCTGCTGCACCAACTGCTACTATCAGAATGGACTGGGAGATAAGGGAGATCTTTGAACTCCCCACCATCTGTGCTGCTCCTCTCATGCCTGCCACCCCGAGGCCACAGCCTCATTGGCCTTATGGGAAATCCGGCCCTGACTGTAGTTTGTCTCAAAGTTTTATGTGAGAGCATTGAAAATAACTCAAAGCAATTAGAAATGTTGTGAAACTTGATCTGTTAACTACATTGCTGAAATACTTTTGACTCGTGATGATCACTAGACTGAGTTTTCTTTAACAGTGTGTAATCTGTCAAAGCATGTATTACTAAAAGTGAGTTAACCATGATTTGTTTTTTATAAATAGCTTTAACCAAGCAAAGAAACATTACGAAAAACAAAAGTAAATACACAGAGAAGCCAACTGTACATAGCATATAGGAGATATATAGAGAAGCCAAATATACTGAGAATTACAGGAAAATGCAAACATACTTAATTGTTATGTTTAGCAACATATGTAAAATAATGGTAGAAAAAAAAGATACAATATGGATACTTGTTAATCATCGCACATTCGGACAATAAAAGTCAGGTTAGATAAGATGGCATGGGGTAGGCAGTTTGGTGAGATTAGATGTAGTATGACAGACAAAGATAAAATAACTAAATGTTAAATGAACACTTGAAGGACCATAAATAATACAGCTGGCTGTAATGTTGCCATGGAGTGTACTGGCACCATCCTACGGTAAGATAATAAATTGGTTTTATTGTGGCTGACAAATTAATTGGGTCTTATTGACCTCCAGTGCTGTATCCACTTTATCCAACCTTCTCCAACAGTGTAAGCTAGATATCTCCAGGGCCAATGTAGAACCACAGTCATTGTCTAACAGTACTTACTTGATACTTAAAGTCAATTATTGCAGTCCTGCATTAAATTATTTTGCGCTATTGAGACATCTGGCTTTGATTGCAATGCAAAAACTCAGTGGGACCAAGGTAAGTTGTCAAACCACAGAAAACTGGTTTCACAACTTAATATAGTATGGCACAATATTAACAGCATTCTTCGTAATGCTGTAGTGGTTATGATGCCCAGAGAGTTCCATTAAAACTCAAGAGATGCCCGAAGAGTTCCATTAAAACTCAGGATTAGCATAAATTTGACAATTTCAGAAACACTGACATTTTGAGTGAGAAAAGTATAAGAAAGAATGAAGAAGGGTGAAAGAATCAGGATAATTCTTAGCTATTCTTCTTCTCTATATTAGTTACTGTAACCTCATTCCATCATTTGAGCTATCCTGTATATCATTAAGGTAAAAGAGGGAGATGATAGCCTTGTCAATCCTAAAACATCATATTATGAAGGTACTTTCTAAAACATTATTATTTGCCTAAAATATTTTTTTAATTTATCTTTTTTTTTTTAATCCAGTTATTATTTTTAACAACATAATGTATTCTATGAGATACGAATCATAGGGCTGACTATTTTTATAGTCAATGCACTAAAGCTCGCAATCTTTGGTGAATTCAATGAATTGGCAACCAAATTACAAGCAATTTTGCTCATCAAAAAGTATACCTAAGCCAAGCATTTTATAAGCCTGTTGTTTCTGGGTTCCCCTAGAGGTATATGTATCAGAAACTACTTCGTATCCCTGATTAAACAACCGACATCTGGAGCTCCAGCTGCTGTGAACTGCTACTCCTATGATGGCAAGTCAGGTTGTTAGAGACTGCAGATGATACAATTACAAAATCTGCAGAAACAGAAGTAGCATAACCCACAAATTGTGTTTCTGATAAGATCAACAGAATTCATTTTTGTTATACAGAATGAAACCACAAGAGAATAAATTGTCTTTGTGCTTTCACAAAATGCCTTTATTTACCAGTGTGAGGCAGATGGGAAAATGTTCATTTTCTTGGATAAAGCAAATTAATGAAGTGGATTTTATAGCTATTGTATAAAATGCATCATTGCTTCCAATTTTCTTCTTACCTTCTCTAAAGGTGGCGTTGATAGTGTCTAAAATGTCCTTCATTCAGAAAATGCCATATTTTGTCACTTGAGGGCACAATGAGGCCTCATTTACATGCTGGTCAGGATATGTGTTTGTTTAGTGTAAATGACATCCCATGGTTCGTTTCGAATTTTATGCACACATGCCTCCCTGTATTTTCAATCCATTTGCCGCAGGGATTACGTTGCCTTCTTTCAAATTCTTGGAGCTTCACTCAGAATCCAAGAGGCAAACAATCCTGTTTGTTAACTAAATCCTTAGCTGAGGACAAGCGGAGGGCTAGTTCCTGCTTCATATGCTCAGCAGATTTTTTTTCGTAATATGCATAAACAAATTGTGGAGTGGTGTCTTTCATTTCCATCTTGAAACAACTTCAGAATTGTGTTTATAAGCTTCAGAGATGATTTGTCTTGTTGTAAATAATTTGAACTTTCCCCTTCTCCAGACTTTATCTGTAAGCAAATCACTTCCTATTGAGACTGTAAACGCAATATGGCAGGGGCCTCTATTCTCTTCGTTCCTTGTATTCATCTGTAATATCTGTTTATACAATATTCATGAAGTGTATGACTACACACTTACTTTACCTATCTACCATTGTAAAGCAACTGTAAAGTGCTAAGTACACCAGTGGGTGCGAAAAAATAAATACAATGTATATACTGGCTGTACATACTGTACCTCTCTGTATATAATAGTGCAGTATTATATAAGAACATGAAGTCCAGTCAACCTCAGTGATGCCTTCTTCCACCACCTGCTTCCTCTTCCTTGATGTCAGGATCTTACCTGATGTGCAGTCCGACATGCAGAGTTATACGCTCACCCTTGCAAATAAACACAGACCAAGGTGACCAGGTAAGAAGCTGGTCTGTGAGTCTGTGCACGGGGGCTGTGCAGAATATAGCTCCAAGTCGCAGTACAGGCAAGGGCAAGCAGAAGAGTAGTCGTGGAAAGCTGAATTCAGGGGAAGCCAGAGGTCAGAATAAACAATGAGATCGGACAAGGTCAGGAGCCATCTGGAGAAGACTGGATCAAGAACACAAATACAGGAACCAGAGTCAACGGACTGACACTGCCCTCGGAGAGAGTTGGTGTTTTATACCTGGCTGATTTGGCATCTGCTTCAGGTGGACTGAGAATGACAGGAGCAGTCACAGGAAAAGTCTAGCCCCCTAGTGCTGGAGATAAGGGAAGATCAGATTTAAGCTTGATACATGAGCTGAATTTTGGCTCAGAGGCAAAACAGCAGGCCTAGGACACAAAAGGATCCAGGTTCATATCCCCTGTTGGGCACTTCTGGGACCACCACTTTATCCCTTCTTACAAATAATAACTACTGTTTATTAGAATTTGCTGTTTGATATTTAAGCAAATCATTGGGTTTATTTACTACTTAGTGAATAAACCAAAATATGTGGCTTGCCTTGGTTTTAATAGATGTTTAAATGGTTATTTACAGTAGTAGTTTTTTAATTTAATGGCTATCTGACACATGCTGCACAAGTGATTTAGTTGACATTCGATATCTTATGTCTACATAATGTAGGAATGGCATTCTATATACACCAAAGGCAGGGGTAGGATTTGCAGCATTTTTGTTTTGCTTTTACAAGCATACTGTGTTCACTGGTGTCGTAGATAAGATATGCATAGCTGTTAAATATTGTATTAGTGTAATCCTTCTCCCATGATTCCAGTGGTGCTGTCTGATTCAGGTTATGGGATAGGGAGGAAGAGACTGTAGGATATTCAAAGAAAGTCAAAGCATCAGGGCTTCAGAATGCCAAGGACCCCAGGCAGGATGCCAAATTGGGGTTCCCTCCTAGAATTGAATGGGCTGGCTAAGTGTCGTGTGTGTATGGTGTATGCGTGTTTTATGTGTGGGAGAATGAGTATTGCATGTTTAAGTGGTAGCTGAATGCTTTGTA